AATTATCTACGTTGGAGATCTACAAGTTCAGTACCTGAGAATCAATAAAAATATTGCCGCGATGGGATCAGATATCCACATACAAGAATTACAGTAACCTTGCTAAGTAGATGGCCAAAGGTTAATACTCATGCACCGAACCATGTTGTAACCCTGATTTTAGTAAAACACGACCCTGTTGTTAATAGTCCGGCAACATGCAACTGCAAAATTAAGCGTTAAATGGTTCGAATGGTTGTGGACGGAATAGAAGAGGCTTTCGCTTAACAGGCTCCCGTGTCTAGTAGCAGAGGATCACCAATACCTCCAGGCAAGAACCTAGGTATATTAACGATAAAAGAGAAAAAAATAATGAATTGGTAAATCATAGTAAGATACTATCCTTAGTCCTTAAGAATATATCAAGTCGCCTCTTAAAGAACTCCTGGGAAGTTGCTTGGACTAGCTTAGTCGGCAGCGAATTCCAGCATTTGACAACTCTTAAGGAGTAGAAGTTGTGTCTGCAGTCCGTTCTACTATGTTGTATCTCTAATTTCTGGGTGTTACCCCTTAGGTTAGTGTTGGGACTAAGCTTAAGTAGGTGTTTAAGAGGATGTCCAGAAGTGTTAAAGATACTGTAAGCCATTAGGTCACCTCTAAAACGCCTATACTCTAATGGATAAAGATCAAGTGACTGGAGGTGCTCATCGTAAGGTTTAAATTTGTGTCCCCGAACTGATTTCGTGGCTCGCCGTTGGATACGCTCCAGAGTGTCCTTATCCTTTTGGAGTGTAGGAGGGGATAGTATGTTTCCGTACTCTAAATGGGGACGAATGAAACTATTGAAGATTATGTGGAAAGTTCTCCCGTAAAACTGACCGAAAATGCGCTTCAATGTTACCAGTGCAAGGTTTGTGCGAAAGGCATTTCTGTCATAGTTGGCGTAAGACTTTAGGTCGTAGCGCACCAGAACTCCTAAATCGACTCGGGATACCACTAGAGAGGAGTTTCCTAAGTTGTAACTGTAATCTGCGACGTGTCGCAGATGGACTACTTTACACTTTGAAGTGTTAAAGGTAATTCCGTTATCGTCTGTCCAACTTTGAATTCGAGTCAGATCCGCCTGAAGTGTGTGTATGTCCCCTTGGTTGCGTATCTCTCTCCAAAGTTTCACGTCATCGGCAAAGAGCAATAAGTCTGACGTTACCTGTTGAGTATGATCATTTATATAAATCAGGAAGAGGAGAGGTACTAGTACTGAGCCCTGAGGGACCCCACTAGGACATTCCATAGCCTTTGAGAAATTAAAGTTTACCCTGACCTTAAAATGTCGATTTGTCAGATATGAACTGAGCCAGTCAATTAACGTTGGTTTGATACTCAATTGTCTGAGCTTATTGATAAGACATATGTGATTAACCCTATCAAAAGCTTTAGAGAAATCAAGGTAGATGATTTCCACCTTCACTTTGCGATCGAGGATGCTTGTCCATATATCCATTATAGTCAGCAGGTTGGTTATACAGCAGTATAGAGAGAAGAGCGACCGGTCGGTAACTTTAAGGTTCGCTGCGTTGACCTTCGTCTGAAGATTGGTATGATATGAGCCAGCTTCCAATTTTCCGGTAGTTTGCCTCGACTTAGCGAGTGTGAGGACATTACGCTAAGCGGTGTTGCCACGATTGAAGCTGCTTCCCTCAGTATAGCAGAATTGACCATATCTGGGTCAGAAAAAGTGTCTGTTCTTAAGTGCCGCAGTTTTCATAACACCAAGTCAGGGCTCAGGTTCACTAAGGAAAGTCCTGTGCCGTTGCAGATGAAGCCGTCATCAGTATAGTTGATGTGGGTCGGTTGAAATGTCTGGGAGTATTGCTCAGCTAGAAAGTTAGCGGCGTCGCCTTCGTTATCGGTCGGGCCGTTAGGACCTAGTAGTTGAGAAACTTCAATTTTGGCTTAACGAAGAGTGCGGTTTTTGATGATTGTAGGTTGCGTGCGGCTTTTGGGGACCGTTTGAGGAACTGACTGCTGTGTAGCACATAAGAGCATGTACAGTAAGAAGTCCCAGGGAGCATCCACATCAAGTTGAGGGGGAACATCCCAATCCACCTGTTGCAGATAGTCCTGTAGTGCTGACACACTCAACCTTTTTAAATTCGAGCGCCTGTTGTTGTTGGGATATCTTAGCTCAGTCTTGCTGACAAAACTGAAGGCTATAACGGCGTGATAGACTTTCCCCACTGGAGCCAGAATTGAGAGGTTGTCAACCAGAAATTCTTCGTTTGTAAAAACACAGTCTAAGCGCGACGGTATCTGACTGTTCCTCCAACGAATAGCCGACTTCACATTTTCGTATAGTCCCAAATCATCAAAGAGGTTGAGGAACCGAGCTTCGAGTGAATTTCACCTCCAATATACGTATGTTCCGCGGGCTAGTCCTTCCAGCATACGACTGCCATACTCGATGTCGGCAGCGGGCTTCCTATATATGACTCCTACTAGGCACCTCGAAATAGTGGACAATCTAACAGAGCACCATATGGATTCCTCAAGATTGTTAAACTCATGGTTGTGAACTTGGTGTACCTCCAAGCCAGATCGTATGTATAGGGCTACTCCACCCCCAATTCCTGTTTTTCTGTCGTTGCGAAACAGAGAAATCCCAGGTATTGCTAGCTCCTGGTCCGAAAACTGAGAAGGTATCAAGGTTTCAGATATTTCTATCAGATTATTATTATTAGCACTACTAAGTTGACGTAGCCCATTCATTTTATTTGGTAGACTCGCGGCGTTCATGTATAAACAGTCTGTGTGATCCTTACGTGAGTGGTCAGGTAGCCTATATATATAAGGTTTGCCGAATAAGTAGGCCCTGTCCTTTACACGTTTTTTCATATTGAAGACAGTCCACAAGTGCTTGATCCTGGCGTCATATGGCCTGTCCGGGTTAAAAGGTAAATCTTTAACGAAAGTCATATAATAAAAGCCCAGACAAATAAAGCTGAAGAACATAACACGTAGTTTACAGGGACCTGAATAAAAGTTAGAACACAACACAGGAAACAAAAAAATAACAATATTGTTTAAAAAATGCTTTGGACGGATTTTCAGCGTTATTTCTATTACAAACGGTAGTAGGTTTATATAGACTGGAAATATACTTTCGCCTCTGGTTTCTAAAGGATTGAGAAAAAATTGTTCAGTTTTAAATGTGCGGATCATCTATAGACCAGGTGATCACTGAGGAAAATGATCTGGTTTCTGGTTCTGCCAGACAGTTCCGAAACATGTAAAGTTACTCCGTTACACAGGAACATGATCTTCCTACCCATAAAACAGTGAAAAACTTGAGCAGTTCTATAAATCAAAGGGAAAAGACGAAAGGTTGAAGAGGTTTCTCAAGTCTGTCTGTTTTGTTTAAATTCATCAATAAAACCTACTTGCTTGCCAGCCTGTAAGTGCATTTACTGTGAATCATTTCTATCTGGTTAGTTGATCTAGTTCTCTCCTACTCTAGACCGACATTTCAGTTTCAGTTGACATTCGAGAGCCAATTACTTCTTACCGTTGAAGTTGTTAAGTGTAAGTACGTTTTCAGTCTAGTGATTGAGTAGCGTAGGTGCGTATATACGTAGAAATTTGCGACCAGAGTAACAATCTGACACTCCAGAAGTGTATGACCCAGCTTTAAAGTTAGCCGGACAACTATGGACTTACTTTCAACTTCTTAAAATGTGCGCATCGTTATGCGACTTGTTTTAAATTACATATATAGCTAGGGTCGTTTTCCCCTACACATGTGTCACCAGTTGAAAAAGATCTAGGGATCTTGATACACTATGGTCTAAAACCCTATGTTGTCAGACAAAACTGCTTCGTGAACAAACCCTCCAATGTTGACCTCAAAGCCACTTTTGTGTACAAACTTGGGGTCAGGATCTAGAGAGTAATAATACTACTACCTAGCTACACTAACATCCTTAACCGGCGAGACTATAATTTATGGGCGAACCAATAAGATTTAGGATAACATATCTTGGGTTTTAGAGCGAATCCTATCTACTCATTTGGCTAAATAGCGTTTCGGCATTTTAGTTGATGTCAGTTCGTGATGAAAACCCTAAGTCTAATTCTTAACGCTAACCATCAACAGTAAATTATAATCCTTAATCCCGCCGGTTTATAACCCTCATTAACTTGCATTAAGTAGATTAACATTCTCAAGGTCACTTTAGCGTCGCTCAAACGTCCAGAAATTATAGTCTCACCCCCTAACTATACACTTGATCGCGCCAAATACTTAGACACCGCTTGAAACAGGAGCATGTATTTCCTCTGATCTCGCTTACTCACTATGCGGTTATACAGTATATATTTTTGTTGGTTTCAAACTTTGGAAACCAAATCTTGCTAATTTTCACTTAGTAACAAAATATATGTTATATAAGTGTTGCGGTTTACCTCAGTCAATTGGTACTTTGTTTGAGAATGGAGCATGTAGAGTAGCGTGAACTAGGGTAGCTTAAAAAGAATAAAAGAAAAAGTGAGTTGACGGCCTAGCAAGTGCACATAATTCACTTGCGTTTACTAAAGAAAGCAGTAGACAACAGTCAGCAATAACAAGCCTCAGGTTGACTGTCTCGAAATCGGGACTAAGTGCAGGTGGTTTAACCCGTTGTAAGCAACACTCTTGATTCTGTGCAAAAAATCTAAAAGGTGCTATGTCAACGCTGATTGGTTCACTTAAAGCTGTCGGTGCAGCATCCTTTTACCTCTTATTCACTACCGACTAAACTTGTTAAGCGAATTCCCTTGAGTGCTTAAATGGTGTATTTAATTACAAGTGCTTTCTTTTCAGTTACGTGCATGTACTAAATCTTTAGTTCAAGTTTTTTTCTCTTCCAGATTCCTGTGCTTGGTGAGTAAACTGTCACTACCAAACTTACGTGTCTTCGTGCTCTTTTTACAACTCATCCACCCTTTACACGGGAGTCTGTCAACGGATAGACACCACATTCTCCAGGATGTTCTTTCTCTTTGTTTATTTATTCTTGCTTGCTTTTGGGAATGGAATTTCAGTTGAAGAGGTAGGGTCAAAATCTTGATGTTATTGTCGTTCAGATATTAGAAAAAAAAATTAGGAAAATGAATCAGCTTACTGCCAGCCAATCATATATTAGTCTTGATACTGATCAATTTAATCTTCTACTAAAATCACAGCCTAGAAATTACTCAGTTATATTACTTCTGACTGCCTTAAGTTCTAGTAGAAACTGTGCGCCCTGCAGGTTGGTATCACTTTGATATCCCCACAAGTGTTATTCAGACAAGCATTTGAAGAGTTTCAAGTTGTATCAAACTCTTGGAGGTATTCTAAGCAGCGTGATGATCGGTTGTTCTTCGCGATTGCAGACTTTGACAAGGCACCTGGTGTCTTTGAGTTCGTAAGTTCTAAAAATCTAGTCACCACTTTAGCTACATCAAGAAACTGCGCCTGCGATTGTGTTTGTATCACCTAAAGGAAATATAAAGCAATCGGACTACATGGATATTACGGTTAATGGGTTTTCTGCTGAGGCGATCATGCGATGGATAACTGGAATTACCCAAATCCAGGTAAATATGTTTCACTTTTAAATTTCTCAGATTCGTTTATTCCGACCTCCAAATTATACTGGAACCATGATACTTGCCCTTTTTATGTCCCTTGGGGCTGCGGTTTTGTACTTTCGTCGAATCAACTTGGACTGTCTATATAATCGTTCATTATGGAGTGCAATATCGTTGGTAAGCAGTGCATTTTTGTCAGTTGTAAAGTCGGTAAATTAGAGTAATACCTCGATCCAGATTGTTTTAGGTATTCGACAATTTAGCCGTTAAGGATTCGTCAGATTAACTATCTATTGAAGTTTATAGGATTCGATAGCGTAGTTTTCAAAATACTTATTCTCATGTTAGTAATTTTGCCTTAAGTACCTTCAGTAACGTGTTTTTTATGCATTTTATGTTGCAAGATGCTATTTATGGTTATAAGAACCACTCCCCTCAAATGACTAGTTTGTCTTGCAAATACTCGCGTATTTTGAGTGGTTTCGAGAAAATAATGAAATACTGTTAAAACAGTTAGCTATTTGCATACTAAAATATATCAACCAGAATAAATAATTTTTATAATGAAAACAAAAGTTGATGTTTATACAAACTTTCCACTCAAATGTTCTATTTTCTTAATATCCATCTTTGTGTGCAAAATACTTCTGAACTTTAATCATTTTTGAACTCATAATTCAGTTTCTCTGAGATTTATGATTATTAGTGGGTTTATTCAATATTATACTTTAAATACGATATGGAATTCTCAGCACAATGTATTTCAACAAGTTTCACAAAAGCAAGGAAAAATAACTGCGTACATATGTACATAAAGTACCTGGAATTAGATGAAATGTTTTTATAAAGAAGATTTGAATCTTATTAAAGAAGACTAGTTATTGACTAGGTGAGGTCTAACAACCTGTTCGTCACATAGTATATTTGCTAGATTACGCTATTGTATTTATTTGTCCCTTCATGTAATGAGTGAAAACATTTGTATTCCTCGTACAAATGCGATATAAAGCAATCAGAAAACCGTAAATTTCTTTTCGAAAGTGAGCAGGGAAAAGGATTGTTATCTGTCAATCTATTAAGAATCGCTGAATAGGATATTAGATCTCTCGTAGCTCAGTAGATTAAGACAACAAGCACGCCTCAGAACTGAAGACTAACAATCATAATGTAATGTTATATGTTTTTTATAGACAGCTGTATGCACTTTTCGAAAAAAACGTATCATGCGTACATCCTTATGTATTCTTCAATAATAACAATGATAGCATTATCGTTATAATAATTTGTCATCATCATTATTATTAATTTTCTTCCAAAAGTGTTATTTCATTTATATGATATGGTCGTTGATTAAGTTTTTGAGTATAATGACTAAAATTGAGCTTTCAGTCAAGATCGCGTCTTTATTTTTATTCCTTCCAATCTTCGTCCGATTGTTACCCATCAAACGTATTGATCGACTTGGGTGGCTTCATTACTTTAAGTGAGACTTCAAAACTTCTAAAAGAGGGCGTCCATAAATTGTCCATCATAATTTTGAGATATATCTTCATACCTCAAGGAGACTAATTGAATAACACATGTCCCCATTCTTTTAATCTTATAGTAAGAATAGGTGCGATTGCTTAATTTCACCATTAATCTTTCTTGAGATAACTTAAGAATAAACGTGGTGGCATAATGAATGTTACGTAAAAATGTTGACTTACAGTATATATGTACATAGTTTTGCTATCCCATAGACAACTCAGATCAGTTGATTGGTTTGTTGTTGGAATTATCAAATACAATATGTTTGAGTTACAGAAAAGTGGACCATTTTTATTGATGTCTTATTGGTTTGGACGTCATACAATCATCGATATTGTTATTTCGTATGTATCTTATCAAATTCCCTTCGCTCCGCTAATGTTGAGTCACAACTTGTTGGATATTTGTTCCATTATTATTTTTATTTATTTTAACACATAGGTATTGGTACAAAGAGGGACCAAGTACATATGCGCCACACGAATCTCAATTGATTTGTGTGAGGGCTGTAATACTGCCCGGGTGTCCAAACCGAAGCAGGAATTGTATGCTATATGCATGCAAATCCGCCCCGTTATTGTTCCTATATTTGTTCCATATTCCATAGTTTTTATAACCGATTTCATTTTTCAAAATTGAAAGAGTTCTATTCCTTGGGAAGCTATTGAGAACACTCAAAGTTACCAAATATATGATTATTTCTATAAGTATTAGTATGGGCAAAATGTGAAAGATGAACCCACTCGTTATGCATAGAAAACCGATTTACTCCATAAAGAATGCCATTTCAACCCACATCTAACTGTGAAATTATTTGTCTAACCCAAAAACTATCAACTAATCTTCCCCTTTACTCTTCAATCTACGAGCTAAAATCGAAATTCTATGGATGAAACCGCCTGTGTCTCTACTTGTACTCCATGATATCTTAATCAGTTTTGTTTTGAATTCTTATGTATCTTTACAATGCAAACTTTTTGTACGGTTCATATCTTCCACCAATAACACTAATATCTAAGACATTTTCATACATTTCAAGTAATTTCCATTATATAAATGGCTTGAGATTCTAGATTACGCTGTACTTGTACATACAGTTTTACACTTTAAAAATCCCCATAACATATTCGAAAATTAAAAATATGTGTTTTTATTAATTTTATTGTACAAACATTGAGCATTTCAAGTGGAATTTGTATGGAAACTTTTAGACAACTATAATCACTACGTCCTCTAAACAATAGACTATTAAAAGACACGTAGCTTCATGTTTCCTTCGTATATCAATATGTGTTAGGGGCATCGTCTAGGCGAAAGTAATGCATCTCATTTACGATTAGATTGACAGAATGTCAAGTTTCAGAAGCAAGTTATCGAGCAGTTTGAAACTGAGTTATTTTCAGAATGATCAGTCATTTACAGGCAGAAAATGCTTGAAAAAAGTATCTACTGTCTTTTTTTCAGTAACAACAATGAGTATTTCAGTTTTATTTTGATGTTTAGTTTTATCAATACTAATGACAAAAGCAAACAGTATGAGCTTCTGGATTCGTATATAAGAAATATGCTAAAAAAACAATGCCTTCGGTTTGTTTCATGACCAGCAAGAACTTGTACCCACAAAAGACTTCTGTAACAATCATTATTGATGTATATTTGTCATTCGATAATAATAGGTTTCACCTTAGTCAGTCAGTCAGCTGCAACGTAGGACTAGGCACGTATATGCATCGGTCCAAGTTGCCATACCGCATTAGCACAACAAGATGAACACCGGATTCATAGGAGTAGTTAATTCAGTGGTGGTAATATATAGAAGAAAGAGTGTGTATAAGGAGATAGTACAGGAAGATAGAATTAGTTCCTAGAAAGAAAGATTTGGAGTGATTTTAATCTCTTAGTTTAAAGGACGACAGAGAGTGTATACACCGACGCCATTGTGATCGATTCTGAGCCATGTCACCAAGAGTCTCCAACCATTGGTTACGATAGTCACGCGGACCCCAACCAGGCAGTCTGAATCTTCCAACATGGCTCAGACCAGAAGTTAGTGACTTCAAGCACTGATGCCACGTTTTGGTTTGGCCGCCCCTAACTTTCTTCCAATCATCCCTAACACTGGTTAGTATTGCGCATCGTGGTAATCGGTGTTCAGGCATACGCAGCATGTGGCCGAACTATCTCAGTCGATGAAGATTCATAACCTCATCAACTGATTTACCATCATTCCCTAATACCCTGCGTCTAACCTCACTATTACTTACCCGATGATCCCAGCAGATACCCGCAATATTTCCAAGGCACCTGTGGTCAAATACTAGTAACTTACGAATATCTTCTACTCTCAAAGGCCATGTTTCGCAGCCGTATAGTAGAACGGGACGAACTGCCGCGCAGTATACTCGTCCCTTAATTGATAGACGGATATCTCGCCTGCGCCATAGACGACGTAAGTTGGCAAAGGCCAAGGGATCTTCTCGAATCCGTGCTGAGATTTCGTCAGACACCAACCCATTAGGGCTGATCAGACTTCCAAGATAAGTGAAGTTGTCGACGCGTTCGACTACTTCACTCCCTATCCTTAGTTCAGGTGTTGACGCAGATCAGTCCTGAAGCAACAACTTGCATTTGGAGGGAGAGAAGTGCATCCCAAACATTCTCGCATTATTGCTCAGTGCTACCAAAAGACTCTGCATTTCATCAGCGTCTTCACCAAACAGGAACACGTCATCTGCGTATTCTAAGTCAATAAGTGGACCTCCTGGTAGGAGATCAATACCTGAGAATTCAGTCGATGAGAGCGTTATTTCCATCAGTAGATCTATGATAGAGTTAAACAAAAAAGGAGAAAGTGGACAGCCTTGACGGACCCCACTTGAGGTTGCAAAAGCGGATGACAGTTCGCCGTAGGCTCTGACTCGACTAGTAGTGTTCGAGTAAAGAGCCTTCACAAGGTTTATGTACTTCTGAGGTACGCCTTTCAATGACAGACACTGCCACAGAACCTCTCGATCAACAGAGTCAAACGCTGCTTTTAAGTCAAGGAAGACCACCATTGTCGGACGCCGATAAGTATGCCTGTGTTCTAGAACCTGACGAATGGTGAATATGTGGTCGATGCAGCCACGACCAGGTCTGAAGCTAGCTTGGTTCTCTCGTGTTTGCAGTTCACGAGTCTTAGTTAGGCGTCCGATAATTATTGAGGCTAGTATTTTAGATACTGTATTAGCTAAACTAATCCCTCTATGGTTGTCACAGGATGATTTTGACCCTTTCTTATATATTGGGACGGTAAGTGATTGTGACCAGTCAGAGGGGATTATGTCCAACTCCCAGATTTTAACTAAAATATTAGTCAACCTATTCGCTAAAACTAGACCACCATCCTTAAAGACCTCTGGGGCCAATCCATCTGGACCAGATGCCCTTCCTCGTTTCAGATTAACTATAGCCTTTTGAACTTCAGTTAGAGTAGGGGGACCTACTTCAATGTTCCATTCACACTATCTGGGAATAGAGGGTAGTTGTAGAGTAGCTGAAGGCCAGCTAAACTGCTCCTTAAAGTGTTCCGCCCATCGTTCTAAACGTCTGGACTGGGAGCAGATGAGAGTGTCGTCTTTTTCCGAAATAGTCTGACTTACACTTGATTTATTAATTCCAGTTTCTTTTATTAGTCTGTAGAGTTGTCTTGTGTTCTCTATAGCCGCCTCCTTTCCCATCTCTTTTGCTTTCGTTGCCCACCACTGCTCACGATCATTCTTTAGACTTTTGCTTAATCTAGATCTGATTTCTTTACGCTCTTCATCGTATTCAGAACCTGATGGGATGAGTTTGCGAGAATCTATCAGTGCAATAGACCTTGACGAAATCCATTGGTTCTTTGTAACCCTGTGGTTTAAATCACTGGTAGATGTCACTGCTGTTTCCACAGCTGCTTGTATAACTTTCCAAGCAACATCTGGGTCAGTCTCGTTTTCAGAACCACCTAAGTGTGACCTCAGTTGATCCTGGAACCTACTTTTGGCTTTCTCATTACTCAATTCGGTTCTAATTAGTCTTTTTTGTGTGGCACTTTTGCGTCCAGTGAGGCGCAAGCAGATGAGTGCTCGTACTAGGGCATGATCAGAGTCCAAGCAGGTACCCCAGAATGAACGACAATCTTCTATTGACCCTCTCCAACGATGACTGATGGCAATATGGTCTATTTGAGTCCATCGTTGGCTTGATGCAGGGGGTCGCCATGTTAGACGATGTCTCTCCTTATGCTTAAAATTTGTGTTTGCTAAAAATAAACGATTGTCTGAGCAAAGTTGCAGCAGACGATCACCATTATCTGTTCTCTGTGCCGGAATACTAAAATACCCACCTAAATGTCTTTCTGTTTCGTTTAAGCTACCTATCTGGGCATTAAAGTCACCTTAGTTAAAAGGTACGTCGCTCTAATGGTATATTTAAGAGATGTATCTATGTTAAACATGCCTTCCGCATTTTTATTTCTTTGTTATTAATTAATGTTATTATTAGTAGTATTAGTTTGTCATTTTTTCTTAATTCCCTATGGTATTTTTTTTCAGAGTAACGGCACCCTGAACCAGTAACCTTTTCCCATAGCTCTCTATTTTTTTTATTTTCCACTTATAATCCTAGTTCAAGCCTAACTTTTCGAAATAAAACAATCGCTAAGAGTTTGCTCGTTAGTGTTTTGAGTGTAAGTTATTCTTAATGACCACTTAATTCTTAATGTCACTTAATGAGCACTTTTCTTTAATTTTAGGGTGTTATTTTTTGTTCTATTTCTGGGCAAGTGTACAATCATATTCGTGGACCCCCGCTTTTTCATGCGCCACCTCCTAACGGAGAAATTGTAAGATGTGTTTTTTCTTTATTCAGCCTAATTATGCACTAGAAGGCCTTTATATACGATGGTTCTGACTATCAATTTGTTGCAGAGACTTTTATTGTGATGATTTTATGTATCCTTGACTAGTTTAGTGTTTTTTCGCTGTTGTATGATATTTGTCTGCGTGCTTAACCTTAATTTGTGAATTACAATAAGATATTGGTTGCTCAGGTGGAATTCTTTTGATGACTGAAGTTAGTTCAACTACTGATCCAACAAAGCGAAAAGGTAAGTTGTGTGGTTCGTTTATATTCTATAAAACATACAAATGTATTTTTCTTTACGCACAGTTTACTTTTACTACATATTCTATTGAGATGATTTCTATTCTGACACGTCCTTTGGTGATTTAATTTTTGGGATACTCCTAGATTCTGGATATTCAAATCTAACGTAAAGCATTTATTATTTTTTAAAATGCTCCATGCTAATAACTTCTACATAAGACAGTAGCGAAATTGGAGCTGGTAGTTTAGCAGTTAAGACACTTAATCTTCACTAACGGGTCACAGGTTTGAACCACGGCTTGAGAAGCTGGATAGTTTCACTAGCTTTCGCAGAGAGCGATGAGGTTTTTTGTTAATATAGTCTGTATGTTTGTAGTGAACAAGAATACGAGTGGAGACAATCGAATGTATTTGAACAGGAAATTACAGAATATCACTAAAATCTGAGAAACATACAGTAAATACTTAATTTGCAAAATATTAACCCATCGTCTCAAACTTGACTGTTTCTTTTGCAAATATCAGCCCATCGTCTGAGATTTCATTGTTCCAGCATTTTCATACTAATTGCTTTCCGTTCCCGTTCTTTCTTTCTCGATCCACCAAAATACGTTATTTTTCTGACTACTGTTATATACTACTTATGTGGATATAAGTAGCCCACACCACATGTTGATGATTAGTTTGTACGAAGTTTGCAAATTTTTGCAATTCTTCCGCTGACTAACTTCACTAGCACCATGAAACAAAAGTGTATAGTATCAAGCTGTCACGGGTATAGAGAAGTGTTGGTTGTATCTAAGAATTTTGCTGAAATTCTTTGTCCAAGTATATACTTTCCTGTGTGTACCTTGATTTACATTTTCTCTAACACCTATTGTAATTTTTTGTTAAGTTCCACCTGTTTATTTATTTGTTTTTAACCATTTTACAGTTTACACAATATCAGGAATAGCCTTGTTTATTATATCTATCCACTTTATACTGTCAGTCTTTCGAAGGAAATATCACGGTTATCCATATGGGTAAATTGTGTTTTGTCCTTATATAAACATTTCTTTAATAGATTATTTTTTAGATAAATATTACCGACAACATGGACGTGTGATAACTACGCTTATTTGTTTCATTTTTTTAATAATTTTAACAAAGAACCTTTTTTGTATTGGATGTTATGCATAGTCATATATCATTTGGAATAAAAGTGTTATTATTTTGCGTGTTCAGGAATCACAGTGTTTACTGTCTTTTATAAGGTCAATGTTCTTAAAATGCTTTTGGATAAACCTGGCTTCAATGGCGTAATGTTTTTAAGCCATCTATTAGTCGATTATGAATAATTAGTGTTTTGTAAAGCTTTAATTGATTAGGATGCCTACAGAATATTACTATTATTTAAACACGTAAACATTGGTAAAAGGAGGTACCGAATACATATGCGCCACACTTCATCATATAATTTGTGTGAGAGCTGGGATACTTCCCGGGCTCCCAAACTGAAGCAGGTGATTTTCTTTGAGAGCCACGCCCCGAGTCTTTGACTTTGGGGTCCAATCCACAAGGCAGTGAAGCAACGTTAGGAAACGCAGTCCCGTTGTAGCCAGTGGCCATCAGTAGATTCATACGCCATTTGTTCCTTCAGGATCCAGGACTCTATGTGCACCATTGGTTTGAAATCAGGGTCTTCCAACTCCCCTAGGTGGACCCTTTGTATCCATCAACTCGGTTAAAGCACCGGACATTCGCTTTTCGTCCTCTCAATTTCATAAACAACATCCCCTCCACGAGAATTGGCCTACAGAATATTATGTGGTCTTAAAGATGAGCTCCTTTCATATACATAACTAGTAATGTTTATATTTATGAAATGATAATAATTTGAAGACATTAATAAATGAATGTCTGGAATATCATTATCTTTACTACTGACAGTAACTTAGCTAGATAATGATACTGAACATAGTTGAGATGTTGGTCAGAACTTTATTTTGTCATCAGATAGTTCATATGGACTAGAAATTTCAAAGGGTTTTAGCCGCTGTATCCGTTTTTTACTGATTAGCGTAATGTATCAATTATGATCTCTGAAGTATGTAAAGCTGCTGAAAAATTCAAATAGCTTTTCGGACAGAAATCGACTACAAAGCTTAGGGTTTATTAATTTTTTTATCTAGAGAACCATTTATTTTCGAACACGGGTTTATCCTGTTGTGATTACGTACAAAATGTGATTAGTTTAGCACCTTTCAAAGAAATTGGTCTAGCAATAGTCTCCAAATCAGCAGTCAATAAATATTTTAATATTTTCTCCATGGGAATCAACACTACTTGCAAATTGCTATCACAGATAGTGACTATTACATTTCAACTTGCTAGATTATATGGTATAACTATTTCGTAGTGCCGTAAATCTTATAGTCATGAGTTCGTGATTAAAGACAATGAAACGAAAGCCCTGAACCTAGGTTTCGTACTAGTTGGTATTTGTCAGCAACTAGCATTTAAAACCTTATGGGTTACGTAGACTAGCTACCACATTGTAACTTCATTAGTTGAATTCGGTATTCACTATGCGCTAATAAATTACTCGGCGATCAACCATTGCATACTTAGGGCTTGAGTGAGTGTACATTTCAAGGATCTCAAATGCAAATTAACGGTGTTAATTCTCTATCGATTTTAATCTTATAGTTTAAGGGAAGATGAGTGTATACACCTACGCCATTGTGATCGATTCTGAGCTATGTTCCCAACCATTGGTTGCGATAGTCACGTGGACCCCAACCAAGTAGTCCGCATCTACCAACATGACTCTCGTACCATTGATGTATACCATGTCTCCGGAACACGCATCCAGGATCCTAGTGTGGTCATTCACTAGATCTCACCCTGCCAAAGCGAAGAGCCGATGAGATACACCCTTCGTGTATCTGGCGACCCGATGGCTATTTCTCATGGACTGGCGGGTGTGCACATAGCACTAAGTACGAGAGAAGAACAAGCACTTAACAGTCGCTTATGTGCTGTTTGGTTAAATGGCTCCGTAAGAACTTGGAAGGATAGGCACACATGTCTCTGCCTTTTCGTCGTTTCTGCCTACGCTCCAAGTGTCTGCAGCCAGGATGAAGTGAAAGATGAATTTTATAGAAAGCTTTATGAACTTCTTCATAAAGCTAAACGCTCAGACATAGTACTTGCAGCAGGTGATTTTAATGCCCAGTTAGGTAGCTTAAACCAAACAGAAAAACATGTAGGTGGGTATTTTAGTATTCCGGCTCAGCGAACAGATAATGGTGATCGTCTACTGCAACTGTGCTCAGACGATCGTTCATTTTTAGCAAGCACTAATTTTAAGCATAAGGGGGACATCACCCAACATGGTGACTTCCTGCGACCAACCAACGATGGACTCAAATGGACCATATTTCCATCAGACATCGTTGAATAGGCTTGAAAGAAGACTCTCTCGTCAGCGCTGATCTTATGCTAATAATAATTCTAATATGTAGTAAGAAGTATGCTATTTTTTTTGTTTCTACATGCGGTTGACAGTTATGAGACTTATCACTAATAACTACAAGTTATGGCATATGACTTCTCTAGCATTGTAGGTTTGGACGCCACTCTGAGTGAATTCGAGAGGCTTCGACTTTTTGGTTGGAGTGGGCGTGATTAACGAAACTGATTATTCAAAACTGTAGGTGATGTGAATGGCAATCAGCCACAGTGCCGGTAATGTATTCATTGTCTTAAGTTTAGAACTGGTATTGTGTACCCTGATTTCACGCATTATGATTTCAAAACGTAAATGTGATTATATTCCTGTTACAAAACTAATAATAACCCATATGTAACTGTACCACAGTTGATGAGATGATTAGTATTCGAGGAACCTAATTACATATCACGTTCGATTTGTATATCTGCTAAGTTAGTAGTCAATCAAGAAGTTATCCCTGTTTTCAAAGGTTAAATATATAACATCGGACAGATTCAGTATCGTGCAAATCATTTTTCGATCCATTGAGTAAATGGAACTGGTATCATAGTTCTTCGTAAGATTAAGTGTGATAAATGATCCACATGAGTTAATATCTTAAGGAATGCCTTTTTGATGGAGAAGTCTTACCATAGAACTGTGGAAAGACTCGTTAAAATCACTAAATACATCCATGTTTAGTTACTTTTAATCCGACAGGTTTTGTTTACCAGCATACTCATTGTTAAATAAAGAGCCTCTTGATGCGGAAATTATAGCTAGGTATTCATTTGTTACCCCGGAAAGTATAAATGCTGGATTTCGATGGAGCTTTGAACAAAACGACCTTAGAAAACTTTTACTTAGCTCATTCTTTGGATAAGATTTTAATTTATTCTGGCAACTTTCCGATTATTTCTGCAGCATAAAAGATTAACATGCGGTTTCTGATTACGGTGGGACCGAGAATCACGAATGATAAAATAGGAAAATATTGCATTCTCAAGCGCTTTCAGCTACAGAATGGCTACACGTAATGAATGGTAACTTTTGGGATCCATTTGTGGACCAATACTATGCGTATACTTTTATCGTATCATTTTTAAATAACTAGACTATTCATATTCATGCCCCTCTTATTTTGACCTATGAACTATTATTATACGATTTACCATTATTGAATTTGCCCTGTCCATTAATTAATACTTCCCACATTTGGCCAAATCTTTTACAAATGTTGTTTCCTATTTTATGGTACGATACGGTCTGTTTGGTATATAAACCGAGTATGTTTGAAATACATGATTCATATCTCAGAGGCTCGGATTGGTGTTCTGGACTTAACTGGCTGGGCTAGGCGGAAAGCAGGACCAATCAGGACTCTAGGCTGCTCGTACGTGTTTTATGCGTCATTGATCCGGTCGATAATTCACTGGTCCCTAATTGGCGGTCACAAGTTATAACAGAAACTCCATATTGCGAAATAAATTCCCTGTGACTATGACCACGATCAAACTTAAATCCGAAGTAATAGCGTACTTACTAGAGCTCATCGTTGTCAAAATGTTAGTAGTCGCACTCAGTATTGGATTTTATAATCAATAAAATCATTTCCGGAACTATGAATATTTTTAGACGACAGGTTTTAAGAGTGCAAAGTATAGGTGTGAAGAAATTTTCAGAAATGCTGGAGCTGGTAAGAATTTAAACCACGGTTGCTTTAATGTTTTTCCTGACATTGGATTAATTAATCACTTTCTCTTACTACTACGATCTTCTATGTAGTTAGGCCCGTCTTTTGATTCTGAATGTGGATATTTGACAAATAGTTTTGTATAAAACATCCATTAAGTGATTCAGTGTATTGGTTTACAGTAATAACTGTTGTTCATAATCATAAAAGTCTATTTTATGTAGGAACAGCTTGTACAATGGGATCATAACATAATTAACTGCAAAGAATTTTTGTAAGTCGTTATTGATAGGACAGATCGATAGCAATCACAAAGCAGTGACCATGTAATCTCAATAACGGTGACAGTATTAGTGATAATAACAGTTCAGGTTGTTATAATGATTCTGTTAAGGCTTAAAGAGTTAATAAGGTAGTGGTTAAAGTAAGTCAACAAGGGATCCTGGACACTTAGGTATCGCCCCACTTAGCACTTGTCAGCAACCCGTTATATTGAAGAGACTGGTACTCTCTTAGGTACATCTGTCTGTTAAACTCATAGTGTCCTGGATAGACTGATTATAGCGCCTTCGTGAATTTACGCCGAACAGTCATATTTGTCTTCAATATCAGAAGGCGTTTTGTGGATATTACAGTAAATTTAATAGTTGAGATCATGAGTCAGTTGAAGCTATATCACCATGGAAAACCTGGAAGCACTGGACGACCGTTTCGTTCTACTGTGGAGCTCCTCAGCAGTTCGCATCCACAATTCCGCCTCGCGAGATTCGGACCCAGGACCTATCAGTCTCGCGAGTGAGCACTTAACCATTAGATCACAGAGCCGGCATCCAACGGTGTTAATGTCTAACTTCAACTAATCCACGAAATTGTCTTTGTCAAGTATTCCCATGTTAACTCGAGGGTTTTTA